TTGTATGCTAACTTATATCTCAATTTTATCTAAATGAATCATAAATATGTTATTATTAATCAGTCTATTTGAGTGAACTTATTAATTATCCCTTTAATTCTTAGTTAATGTTGTTTTCCAATTATTTGTGTTAGACTAGTTTTCTTCTTCAGCCTAAAAGATGGACGTGTTTTGGTTGAGTGACCACTCTCTACCGTCAACATAATTATGTCCTCTTTATATTTACTCACCTTTCCATGTCTATAGTGCAATATATTAGTATTTTGATAAAAATAAAAAAAAGAACATAATCTATTATGAGATTGTCGCATGTCTTCCAATTACATTAATAATCAATCAAAAAAGCATATTTAATATAAAAGTTAGATCGAAATTCTGCATGACGATGATAAGTCTAAAAGAGTTTATGAAAAAAATTGGAATTGAGACCGACAAGTAGGGCTGACAATGAACCAAACCAATTCGAAGATAGTTCGGAATTCGACTCGACAATTAAATCGTTGAACTAGATTCATGAACCAAATGAGTTGAGTATGAGCGAAAAATTAAGTTCGTTAACTAAATGAGCTGAACTTGAACTATACATAGTTCGACTCGTTAGGTTCATGAGTCAACTCGATTACATATGAAAAGAATTATACTGTCTTTAAGATTAGGTTTAAATATTTACTTCAAATCTTAGACAAATTTAATCTTCAATTTAGTAGTTTTTGAATTAGACTCTCAAATGTATCTCTTGAAAGTTGTGTAGGTTTTGAATTAGTAGATTTCGAAGATAAAGTTAAAAAACTTTTATTTTATTTTAATATTTTATTTAAAAAATATATATTTATTTAAAATGTCAAATATACTAAAAAATATATATATTTAAAAAAATAGTTTTTAAGTTCGTGAATCATGTGAACCTAATGAGATGAACCTAACGAGTCGAACCGAACTGTTCGTGAACTTATAACGAGTCGAGTTTGAGCTTAAAAAAAAGTTCGTGTCGAACTCGAACTCGAACAATTCTTAACGAGTCGAGCCGAGCTGAGGTGAGTTCGACTCGACTCGACTCATTTCCAACCCTGCCGATAAGTTAAGACAACATCTAATTTTAATATTTTTTCAAAGGACAAATATTTATACATAAAGATTACGATAAAGGTTATAAAGAGTCAAAGAACAAAGAAGTTAATAGGACGACACAATAAATTTCCAAGAGCTTCGCTAAAACAAAACAATAAAATAAGAAAATACAATACAACCAAAGGAGAATGGAAAACACAAGAGAAAGTACCACCAAACCACCAAAATAACTAGATTATATCTCATGAACAAGAATCACCATCAACACAACCACATCTCCCAAGCACAATTTAGAACCACAATACCAAGAAAATCAAATGACACCGTGAAAACTCTATTGGCTCAAAATAGAGAATAAAATTCATAAGCTAGTTAGAAGAAGAACATGAATAGGTTAGTGACTTACCTAGACACCATTTCTAAGAAAAAGAGATGTTCATCTCTTATAAATCCTTCTCGCTTATTTTCTTAGCTAAAAAGGCAACGTCATTCAAATATTGTTAAATAATTTAGACTACTAAATTTCAAATTTTCATAAGATCTCCTTCAATCTTAGCCAAAATTCTTAGAGAAGTAAAAATCTAAAAAAACGAGATAATATCTTATGGAAAGACAATAGTCCTCCAAAGCCAAAAAAAAAATCTTATACCATAAACTAACCGCCACTCTACGATGATAAACAAATGATTTACATTGATTGAAAAAGAAGAAATCAACCTAAGGCTAGACAACCTATCCCCTAGGACCAAAGAGACAACTTGGACCCCATATCTAAAAATCAACCTATCTCTCCAATTATACACACACTTATCAATTCAGGCCACCCATCACTTATATAAGTTTCAAAGTCCAATAACACTAGATGTAAGGAAATGTATTTAAAGAACCATGTCCCACGTAATGATAATTAAATTCACATACTATTTAGATCCACGTACAAAGATTAATAGTACTGAGTGTGAAGGATGTACTAAAAAAAAACTCAATTCTCACATTAGTTAAAAACAGAGTCTAATTTTTTATATAGAGTGACTTTCTTATTTTAAAAAATCGATTTTGTAGAGATGAATTAAGGACAAAAACCGCACATTGCACATATTAACGAAAGAGAGAGGAGAGTTTTATTTAAAACTAGAATGTTCATTCTTGTCTATTTTTTTTTACTGTGTTAATATATAAAATTATAAATGATACGTTTAAACTAATTTAAAGGAAAAAAAGAATTTATTAAAATTTTAGTAGAACCCTATCTTTGATTAGCGTTTCTTGTGTAATATTAATTTCTTTTCTATTCTCATTAGACATGATTTTAAATACAAAACGGTTAGACTAATATCTCAAGTCAAAGATATAAAATAAATAAGGCATAATCGTCATTATAATGCAGCATATATCTTCCTAGTTATTGGAATCAATAATTTGTTTTTCCCCGTTCATTATAATTATATCCATTAATAGTAATTATTAGTGTTAATTCTCATTTCCTAATTTCTGTCAAATGAATCAGCTCTCGTACAACCCTAATCCATGCTTATTGAAATATAAATGTAAACCTTATCATATCAAATAAATAAAGCATTCAGTATAGTTGTTTTTACTCGTGAAAAACCCTTCACCTTTGAAGAATTTCATAGCCACTTGCTTGCTCACGATGAATATATTCAGCGCGAAGTTCAAATCGGTGATGGTACATGTTTAATTATCTCTCCTATTGGATCAACAACCCTTCCAACGCCAAATACAACTTTTCATCTAAAAAATATTCTTTTTTTTCCAAATGCAAAACATAGTCTCATCTCTATTGATTAAAGTTTCAATTTGACATAGAGTAGCAATTTTGTTGATTGTTAAATTGGTATCAATACGGTTAAAAGTCAAGGTGTAGATTGTTGCAAATGTGTCTTAAAACCTTTGTTGATGAAGAAAAAGAAAACATATTTTAGAGATTGCATTTACAGCGAAAATCAGAAGAAAAGTATTTTGATTTTTCGGACTTTTTCGATTCGGTCCATAGATCCATGTGATTTTGGGCTTTGTTTGTTGGGTATTTGATATTATAAATATGTATCTCTTATATGTTTGGTGTGTGACAATCTTAGAGTTTACACCAATAAAGGAGAGTAAGGGTTTAAAGACATAACATAAGGTTTTAGCTATTCACAAGAAAAAACTTAAAAAAACAAAGGTTTAGGAAAATCTTTGAAGTTGTTTAAAGTTATTGTGAAACACTGTTACACCTTGGGTTTTAGTGATTCATATATTGATAGTTGTAGAGGTTGGAAAACACTTGGGTAGAAAATAGGATTGTTCTTGGGAACCCGAAGGCGAAGGCTATTTTCTTGTAACTCATATGTAATATCTCGTAACAACTTTCTGATATAGTGAATTGTAGAGCTGCTTTCTCCCCTTCTCCCCTAGAGTAGATCGCTTGGTCGAACTAGGTAAACAAACCTTCAGTTTTTTCTTGCCTTATTCTGTTATATCATCTATGTACAGATTATTACTGCTGAAGACCATTTATTTTGGTTGCTATAGTTCTTTGCCTCACAAATTGATATTGAATTTTGTCGTAATTCACAACAACATTCACAACAGTAAGAATCCGAATTTTCATAATATGTCAAAACACATTGATGTGAGATGTCATTGGATGTGTGATGTTTTGGATACTAAGTTGTTGGAGTTAGTTAAAGTTCATACGAATAATAATGGTTTGGATATGATGACTAAAGAATTATCAAGAGGGAAGTTTGAATCTTGTTGTGATATCACCGATTCGGCAATTTTATCCACATAGTTTTGAGGGGGAGATTTGTTGAGTTTGGACTCCCTTTCTATGTGGAGAAAGACTCAAATATGTTAGGACATTTGTGTCTCACTTATTTTAAGTGGATAGAGTCACTTTAGGGTTGAGAGAGAGAGAGAAGACACGAAAATCAGCTTCAAAAGAGAGAAACATATTCTCGTTTTTTTGCAACTAGTTTTAGTAAATCAACTATTCCGAATTTGTTAATCGTTGGATAAAGGTCATTTTCGGAAGACAGGTTTGTAAAATCTGTGTCTACCTTTTGACCATTAGGATCTATAAAACAAATTCTAAGCTGAGAGATATTTGGTTTGCACTGAAACTACAAAATTAGGTATTTTTTCAGCTTTTTGTTTCTTATTTGTAAGTTATTTTACTTTACAATTTTTGTGTTGTTAGCACTACTTTCTGAATCAATTTGATACTCACTCGTACCTTTATTTGATTTTGGAGGAGCTATTTCTTTGGTCGGGATGATTATGGTGTTTTAATCTCACATTGAGATTTTTTCATATTAAAATATTGATATTCTTTTATGCTTGCTGCGATATATTTGTTGTTGATCCTCGTAAATTCTTAAAAAATTGAAAAATTTTATATTCACTTGTATATTGATTTATTATTATGTTTTAATTTCCTATTATTATGTGTTAATCAAATGAGCCAATAAAAGTTCGATAGCATTACTCATACCATAATATGAAACCATAATTGAATAATCTCTAAAGCAAATTTTCATTAACATTGAAAGATTACAATGATGATATATATACAAAGAGGTAACTTGCACATTAAGCTACTGTATGTATGCACTATATGATTGCAGCTTTAGGGCCAAATAACTGTCCTAACTACTTTACTTCCTGACTGTAACAGAATTTGTAACTAACCAAAGCATGCTAACTAACTTTTATTGACTCATTTGATTCTTCACTCTCATACTTCAATACAGACCATCATCAACATAACACAATGGGAACAACGGTTTCTAATCCGCAACTTGTGGCCTAATATCGTCAACATCTCTTCGCCGTTAAACTGTCCAGGGCCTGCTTTTAACATATCTCTGGTATAGAAGATGTTCATCCCACCATTTGTGTCCCTATGAATTAGCACCATAGTACCTCTATCTTCCAACGTTTCTCAAACGTTTCAGCACATCTTTTTCGCCAGTGAGTTCCCTGACCAAACCTTCATGATGCATATTGCAGGAGTAATTGATACAATGATAAGGGATAACACATAAACACACATGCATGCTGCATACGGTTCATTATTTAAATAACTTGTTACCATTTGTATAGTCGCGACAATCATTAAGACCGATTCTCAAATCTGTTTCATATTTTCTGTTGAATTCATTTGCCATTTCCACAGCATCTGTTTCTGCATATCCAACCAACCAGCATTTGCGTCGCGGCAGCTTATTTAATTTCCTCACAAGAACAGCTCCTGATAATACCAACAGAAATGGTGATCTAAATATAGAAAGTGAAAACAATTATGGAATCATAAATAAATTCCAAATCTCACTCACCTGGCACAGCTCTTCCAAATAAAGCTGATAGGGCCACATATATATTTTCAGGATCTTTTGGTTGAAAATCAAAAACCAGAACCTGTGAAGAGGATGAAGGTTTGATGATGACCATGAAATGTTGAAGATTCCATACATTAAGGGAGTAAGCAGCAGACATAAGCAATTGGGGTGGACCCTTTGTAGCCCTTAGAGGCATTGCTGCCACATACACTTCATTTCTTGCACTTATCATTCTTGCGTTTGATAATAGTGATGCCATTTTTCTGTCACTCACACTAACTATTTCTTTCTATAGTGAGAATTGCTCTAATTTATCCAATCCTGGTTTTTTGAAGAGAAACTAGTGGTTGAAATTGAATGATGTGTATTCATATAAAATATATAGAACGGAACCTTAATTTTTTGTTTTATACTTTATCATCACTTTACACTTTCTATTAATTTTATTTCTCTGTTTTTTTATTTAAAATAAATAAATTGACATTAGTAATTATTTAAAAGAAATTTTAAAATTCCAATTAAATTTCAGACTTTAACGAACCGAACTAAAAAAGTCTAAAAAAATAATTTTTTTTTACAAACATTTTTCCAAATATATAACAATACTCCTTCCTATCCTTTTTAAGTATCACTTTCTGAATAATTTTTTGTTTCTTTTTAATTGTCACTTACAAAGTTCAAGATAGTATTAGATACACTTTTGTCAAAGTTGTCCCTAAATAATTATTACAGAGGGGCATTATAGGTAAAAGAAAAATTATTGTATGAAAAATAACAATATTTATTAGCTTTCTTGATATGTATAAAAAATCAAAAAATGAAATTTAAAAAGAAACTGAATGAGTATTTTCTAGTTATTAATCTTTTGGAAAGAAGAGGCCTCGAGTAGAACATCCTTTTAAGTATCTTAATGTTCTAGTGAAAGTTTTGTAATGATTAATAGTGGCATTTGTGAGAAATTGACTTCAATGATGTTTTATGATTGTGATGTCAGATTTTGTGCTGGTGAGGTAGAGAAGTCTTCCAATGGGGGTCTATATGAAGGAATGTCTATGAAAGCATGAATTGTATAATTCATTGATTTGTTTAGTGGATATGCATGGGTGGTAACTGGATTTAACATGAGTAATCCTACAACAAAGATCAAATTTATGCAATTATTTCTCTAACATAAAACGATCCCTTGTTTGAAAGGAGACACTTCAAAACCAAGGTGATTGTCCTGAAATCTTGATTTTGAATGTGTGATGGAGAATTCGTTTGATGTTTCCAAACTCATTTAAGGAATTTGTGAGAAGTTTTGTAATGATTAATAGTGGCATTTGTGAGAAATTGACTTCAATGATGTTTTATGATTGTGATGTCAGATTTTGTGCTGGTGAGGTAGAGAAGTCTTCCAATGGGGGTCTATATGAAGGAATGTCTATGAAAGCATGAATTGTATAATTCATTGATTTGTTTAGTGGATATGCATGGGTGGTAACTGGATTTAACATGAGTAATCCTACAACAAAGATCAAATTTATGCAATTATTTCTCTAACATAAAACGATCCCTTGTTTGAAAGGAGACACTTCAAAACCAAGGTGATTGTCCTGAAATCTTGATTTTGAATGTGTGATGGAGAATTCGTTTGATGTTTCCAAACTCATTTAAGGAATTTCCTACAATTATGATGTCATCAACATACAATAAAAGTAAAGTAAATGAGTCATAAGTTTTCTTCATGAACAAGGAATAATCTGAGTTGACTTGATAAAATTTGTGTGCAAGAAGTAATGGTGTGAGATTTTCATAACATTTTCTATTGGCTTGCGTAAGGACATATAGTGATTTTATGAGCTTACACACTTGATTGGAGTTATAGGAAACAATTCCTGGAGGGATACTCATGTAAACATCTTATTAAAATTCACCATGTAATAAGGCATTGTTTACATCAAATTGAAAGATGAACCAGTTATTGATGGATGAATACCAAGTTTGACAATTATCAATTTTGTCTCATGTGAGTATGTCTCGAAGTAGTCTAGCCTCTCAATTTGGTTGTCGCCCTTTGCCACCAGCCGGGCTTTGAATCTTTCCACTAAGCCAACAACATAAAACTTGATTTTGTATATCCATCTCTAGCCAATTAGTTTTATGTTGGGTGATGAGTCAACAAGTTCACATGTACATGTAATTTCTTGAGCTAACAAATCATATTACATTGGTTGATTTCAACATTCAAATTTTATTTCCTCAACATATATCTTTAGTATGTGATGTGTGTTGATTGACATGACAAAATGATTGAATGAATGAGTCATACCTGAATAAGAAATACAATTGGAGAAAGGATAATTTGTACTCGAGGATGATAGATTTAGTTTATCAGTCAATGAATTGCATATGTAATCTTTAAGGTATGATGGAGGATATTTGTTTTTTATTGATTGTTTTGTGTAAATAATGTGATTTGATTGTTCAATTGTGTCATGGTTGGATATTATTTAGAGAACGAAGATGTCTCAGTAGTGATAAGTGTGTGATCACTATCATCAATAATACATGCTTAAGATTAATGTTGGAATTTAGTGACGATATGGGTTAAGAAGTATTGTGATGTGATTCAGATATGGTATTTTGTGGTATTTGTTCATGTGTGGTAATTTGTTTGATAGGTTGAGATGAGTCATGTGTTAGATATAAGCTCCAATTGTTGGTTAGAGAAATACTAAGTGCTAGATATGGAATTATATGCTCATGAAAGGATGTATGCATAAATATAAACAACTCTTTAGAGTTTAGTTCAGGAACTACACAACCTTTGAAATGATCCATGTATTCCAAGAAAGCATATTTTCTAGCCCTGACTTCTAATTTTGATATGTGTAATTGAAAGGTTGATGCATGTACCAAACATCAAAAAACTTTTAAATAATTTAGGTATGGTTATTTGTCACATAATAAGGTCTAAGGAGATTTGTTTTGGAGTATTGGTGTTGTAATTCTATTTATAAAATAATAGCACGGTTGGGGGTATAAGAACAATATTTTTTATGTAATTTGGATTGGTATAAAAGGGTATTGTCTACATTTAAGATGTGTTGATGTTTTCTTTTCACTGTATTATATTGGTGTGGAATTTCTACACATGATCTTTGATAGTGTATGCCCCTTGAATTATAGAGTGTGGGTGAAGAAAACTCACGACGATTGTTATTCTTTATAGTATTGGTTATGATTTTGTGTTGGTTTTCAATTAGTTGTATAAAGTTTTGAACAAGAGATGAAAATTCAAATTTAGATTTTAGAAATATTATCCAAGTGAATTTATTATAATTGATGCAATCAAAAACACTATAGATTAGCAAGCACTAAATTTAGAATGAGAACACAGAATTGCAAGAGCAAAACTTGTCAAATAAACGTTGGAATCCACTCGATAAAGAAACTATTAAATTTTATTAAATCAAAGATAATATTTACAGCCACTCCCAAGAGTGTTTAAATACAGTAGAAAAAACTATAATGGGCTTTTAATCCAAAGCAAATATAGAACAGGAAATTGTGTAAAATATTAAAAGTGCTTTTTGACACGCGATTTCTTCTTTTATTCGCGCAGCCAATCTTCTTACATCAGTCTCCTCCACCTCTGAAGAACTCAACCTCGAGTTCTCTTCTGGATAAAGAACCTCGTCTACTTGATATTCATGAATGTCAACAAAATTAAAAGTATTGAATATATTCATGGAATCCGGGAAAGCTACCACATAAGCACTATCATTGATTTATCGAGTCACTTTGAACAGACCATACTTATGTGGATGTAGTTTGTAGTAAGTACCAATTAGGAACCTCTCTTTACAGAGAAGCGCCATCAAATTGTCTCTTACATTGAAAACTTTAACTCTCGTGTGTTTATCAGCAGCTATCTTGTTCTTCCGCCCAACAATCTATAACTTAGCCTTGACAGCTTCTTTAACAATTGCCATCTCTTCAGTCATATTCTCAGTAGTCGCACTAACCCCAGGCACCTTAGGAAATTTAAACAAGTCAACCACGTATTTTTAAGAATAGAAATATAGCCTAGAGAAAAGGGTGATTTTCATGTAGTTGAGTGCACAATGATGTTATAAGAAAATTCAACCTGAGGTAAAACTAAATCCCACTAATTTGTCTTATCTCCACAAACACTCCGAATCATATTCCCGAAAGTTTTGTTTGTTACCTCAGTTTGTCCATTTGTTTGAGGATGAGCTGTAAAACTCCTATTTAACACGATTCCAAACAATCTCCAAAGAGTAATCTAGAAATGGATGAGAAATTTGGTGTCACTATCTGAAGTAATTGACTTAGGAACCCCGTGAATACGCACAACCTCCTAGAAAAAATTTGTTTATGTTGGACGCATCAAAAGTCTTCTTACAAGCAACAAAGTGTGTCATCTTGGAGAATTTGTCTACTTCAATGAACACAGAATCTATACCTCACTGTGTACGAGGAAATTCCAACATAAAATCCATGGCTAAATCTTGCCAAATATTATCAGGAGTAGGTAAAGGCATATAAAGAACATTATTTTGAGACTGATCTTTAGAAACCGAACAAGTATACAACACCTCCTGACTATAGAACTAGCGTCCCTCCTCAAGTGTGGCCAATAATATATCTCCTCCATACTAGCAATAGTCTTGTCTCTACCCAGATGACCGCTAATACCACCACCATGCAGCTTTCGAATTATCTTCTCTCTTAAAAAGGAGCAAGGAATGCATAGTAGGACCCTTTTAAAAATATACACATCTCGAATATGAAAATATGCACAAGGATGTTTTCCACTGAACTTGACCCATAACTCCTTGAACTCAACATCACTTTCATACAACTCTTTCAGGCACTCAAAGCCTACTATTTCTTGCGATAAAGTAACTAGTAAGGAAGCCTTCTTACCCAATGCATATGTTACCTTGTTAAGAGCCTCTAACTTACTCTGAATAATAAAAGGAAATTTCTACAGAAAACTCACCCACCGAGCGTGTATCTTGTTTATCACCTTCTGGCTGGGAAGAAACCACAAAGATGAATGGTCGTTAAAAAGGATGAAATCCTTCTAAACCAAATAATGTTCCCACTGGCGCAAAGCTCTAAATACTGCATATAATTCTTGATCATAAATACTTCATTTCTAGAAAGCATCGTTTAATTTTTTTGCTAAAAAATGCTATTAGTTTCCTCTCCTGAGACAACACAGCTCCTATCTCACTCCACTAACATCACATCAACTTTGAACACTTTATCAAAATTGGGAAGTGATAATACTAGTGCGGTACATAGCTTCTCCTTAATCAATGCAAAACTCCAGTCTTGTTCAAAATCCCAATTGAACTTCTCTTTCTTCAAACATTCAGTAATTGGTGTTGTGATAGTATCGAAGTCCTTGATAAACCTCCTATAGAAGGTGGCCATACCATGAAAGCTACGAACATCAGTTATTGAGTTAGGTGAAGGACAATCCTTTATAACACTCACCTTATCTTCATAAACCTGAATCCCTTCTTCATAAACAACGAAGCATAGGAAGAGTAATTTATTGGTAATAAAGGTACACATTTTTAGATTAACATACAACTGGTTCTCCTGTAATACTTGCCACACCTGCTTCACATGCTCTTTATTGGTCTTACTATAAATCAGAATATCATCAAAATAAACCACTACGAAAGAACCAGTTAATGGACGAAAAACCATATTCATCAATCTCATGAAAGTGCTATGGGCATTTGATAACCCAAAAGGCATAACCAACCACTCATACAATTCGTCTTTGCTTTTCAAAGTTGTTTTCCATTCATCCCCAAGTCTGATTCTCATCTGATGATATCCATTACACAAATCTTTCTTCGAGAACACCATAGAAACACCCAAATCGTCAAGCATGCCTTCTTAACGGGGAATTGAGAATCGATATTTGATAGTCATCTTATTGATGGCTCTGCTGTCAAAACATATTCGCCACTGATTTCCCTTCTTAGGTACTAAAAAAATTGATAAGCTAGATCCCATAATGAGGTCAATCTGATCTTGAATATCTCGCATATGAGGAAAATTGTTTGGTAATTCATCTGCGATCAACTCCTTGAAATCCTCTAAAATTTCTAACAATTCTTTGTTAATCACTATTTTCTCCTTTACAACGTTTATCAACCTTTTAATCAGCAATAGACACAAACATTCAGATTTCTTAACAGTCACATCAAGCTCCTTTTCACTCTGTGTCAATACCAAGAAACTATACTTCTTTCCTCCTTAATTATTATCAAAGTGCAAAATAAGAGCCATAACAATTTTATGTGTGCCCTATTTAAACATCATCACGCTATCTTGTCCTCAATAAGTGACATCATTATCTAACTACCAAGGTCTACCAAGTAAAATATGACAAACATCCCTATCAAGAACATCACAAAGTACCTCCTCTCTATAAAGTTTTTCAATAGAGATCGAATCCTGTAGGCTAGCATTACTTGAACTTGGGATATATTGTCTACCCATCTGAGGGTGTATGACTTCCCATGGGATTCTGTGGACAACTTCAACGAATATACCAGTTTCTGTGACACCGAATTCTTCAAAACAACGACAACAAAATAAATAATCTAAAATAACAAATCAATTGACTAAACAATGTAAGCAAATCCACAAAAAATAATAGGAAGATAAAAGATAAGAGCACAAAGAAACTTATTTTATCCAGTTTGATCAAATCGGACTGCTATAGGGGAAAGAGGAACACTCTGATTCACTATACCTCCATGAATTGTTACTAGAGATTACAAAAGAATTACAAGGAAATAGTATACCAAATTTCCAATAACAAATCTTATTTTCTATTCAAGTGTTTCTCAATCTCTCCAACTAACTAAATATGAATCACACAAATCCAAAATATGTTAAAAGTGTTTCCCAATCCCTTTGATACCTCCAAAGATTTCTCAAATTTCAAGAACTTTAAGAAATTTTTACCATTGTCTATCTAAATTTCTCTACTAAGATTTCTTCAACTCCCATCTGTCTTTCAAACTACATTATAAAGTTAGTGATACAAAAACGATATAAATATATATATATATATATATATATATATATATATATATATATATATATATATATATATATATATATATATATATATATATATATATATATATATATAATTGTTAAAACTCAACAAATCCATAACAGACCTAAACATGACGCATTAAACCATGGATCCACAAACTGAAACAACCGCAAACCATTTGGACTGGACCTGCAGTCCAAGAACTGCGGCCTTCCGAACCAAACTGCAACCTCCACTCAACTCTAGTCAATCGTCTCCGTTGACCCGGCCAGCCAGCCTCCGGACCGTCGCTTAGTGGCTCCTGCGTCCTCCGTCAACTTTTATGTTACTTTCTAGTTTTGTGATTTCTACCCATCTCAAAACATATATATTTTCTCTTTAAGATTTTAAACATACTTCCACCTTTTCTTTTCTATCTTTAAAATAAAAGTTTGATCCAAGTTAAAATTTCTTCTCTTAAATGAAGTGCCTGGTGAGACCTTATCTATCTTAACTTAGTTGATGTAAAAGTTTCAAAGTTATAAAGAAAAAGTAGAATAGAACTAATGTAGTATACAAATCATTGCTCAAAGAAATACGAGTAATCTAAATATTAATTTAAACAAATTACCATTCAAAACAATTCTGCAGAATCACAAACATAGCAACATATTACTAAAAAGGACCTGCATTAGGTAAACTCATGAGAGTCTTCACATCACCCATGCATTTAGATTTAGCTACTAGTAGTATTACTATAGCTATTTTATTACACCACACTAACAAACAAGTAACAAGAAAAACACATTTAACAACAACACATGAAACTTTAACAGTTTCATAAACTTCACAATTTTCCTTACTCACTCTTCTCAGTTTGTGCCTCACTGTTGGTGATTACTTCCTCCTCTTTCTTTTCATCTATGGCTTCTTCTTCCTCAACACTCTCCTCAGCTTTCTCTTTTGGTGCTTCTTCTGTCTTAACGCTGTCCTTAGTTTCAGGCTCAGCTATCACATTCTCATCCTTAACAGCATTTTCTGTTTCAGATTCTGCAGTTGGTGGTTCATGAACAACATCGACAGCAGAATCAGCATTTTCTTTTGTTTCCTCAAATAGTTCATCTTTCTCAGTTTCTTCTTCCTTCTTTGTTTCCTCTTCTGTGTCTTTCACAGTCACAGTTTCTTCAACCGCCAATTTAGTTTCAGATTCAATCAAGGGTGCTTTTGCTTCTGCAGCTGAAGATTCTACTACAACTTCTTCTTCTTTTTCTTCTTTGGTTTCCGATGCTGCTGGTGTGATTGGACTCAAAACAACTTCTTCAGTGGTTTTCTCATCAGATTTCAATGATAATGCGGTGGTGTCGTCCGAGAGTGCAGTCTTTGCTGATACAACCTACAAAGATTAAAAAATGAACACAAATTGCTTAAGCAGTTGTTTAAAATCAAACTGAAATACAGGAGTGGTAAAACTGGTCTGATCAACCGAGCATTGCTCGTTTTGCTGTATATTTTTAGAAACCGTTTAAGATTTTAGATTCACACCCTCTAATATATTCGTTTCGGTCTGTCCAAATTTTTTGTTGGCAAAAGGATTATTATAAATTTTTATAATTTTTAAACTTAAAGGTGTAGAAAGAAAATATAAAAGAAAAAATAGTTACCTGAACAGTGGCCATAATTGGAATAGAAAGAAAGAGAAACGTAGTTAAAGAGTTGTATAGAAAAGAAAGTTTAAATTTTGATGAAAAATAATGGGATTGAGATTGGTTTATATAGAGATTTGAGGCCACAAGTTGATGAAAGAAATGAGGTGAAGAATGTTGGGATATGACACTCCATTCACTGAATGTTAGTAAGCATGTTTGGCAATAATGGTGGCAAAAACTTAGAGATGAGGTTATAATGTTATTTAATATTGGAAGGATAAAATAATGGAACATGATTTCATGGATGCCATAATTTTTCTTTTGGTTCTAAGTTATGTGCTTTGTGCAGTCGTGTGCAAGGGGAAACCACCAAATTTATTACTATTTTTAATCATGATTGAAAGTTTAAATCAGGTAAATTAAAATGGTGATTATATTTGGACACTCTTAATTCTCAAACAGTTATTTAATTAAGTTATTTTCGTAAATAAATTATTAGGTCGTTCAAGGATTGATCCAAGGTCTTGAGATTTGTAAATACTTGCTTAACCACTCATCCTTAGATATATAACACATGTAAAGTAAAGATAATACTCACTTAGTTCTAAAATAAGGGGAATACTTAAACTTTCACATGGATTCATAAAATGTGATAAAAGAAAGAGAGAGCAACAATTTTATCAAATTATTTTTATTGATTTTTGGTGTATTATAATTATCATTAATGTAAGATAAAAAAAATAGTAAACTAAAAATATTAATTAGAAAATATAATTAAAAGATAAAAAAAATAAAATTGCATTAAAAATTATAATGAATATTTATTTTTGTAATTCTTTTAAATTAAGAGTAATTTTTGTAAATAAATTATTAGACAATGTAACAAGAGGTCGTTCAAGGATTGATCCAAGTTCTTGAGATTTGTAAATATTTGCTTAACCACTCAACCTTAGATATAATATATTTAAATAATTTTTAAGAATTGTTCTAGTGATGAAGGTTTGAATCTTGAGAGTATGGATATTTTTGGTCATTTTAAGGTCTCATTAGTTCGAATCAACTAAAGTGATATAATGTATAACGTTCCATTTATAATTATTTTTTTAAGACACCATTATTTATATTCTACAAATTATTTCTTTATTTTTTACACTATTCATTATTTTTATTTTTCTTAGGTCTATTCACTTTTTCAAACCTAAAATATATTATATGATGTTTTACTTCATAAAAGTTATAAATAAAAAATTTTAATGAAAAAAGTTTAATCCATATTTACCATTTTAAAAATCATAGTAAAAAAAGTATTACATTCCTTAAAATAAAATAATTTAAAAATTATTTTAAATTTAACTTATAACTTTTAAATAGACAAACAAATGTCTCTAAATTATAATTTTTAATTATAATTATAGTTATAAATAAATAAAAAATTAAACTTAGAATATAAAGTTAATCAATTATTTTTCAATCAATTTACTTATAAATGTCTTACAATATATTATTAAATTAAAAATAATTAATATGAAAAGAAAATTCAATACTTAATTTATCATCCAACTCTTAAGTTTAGAAAAGTAAATTAAAGGATTCTTATATTTTTTTTTCAATACTTAATTCATCATCCAACTCTTAAAAACATATTCAACAATCATACTCATTTCACTCTCAAACTACTAAGACATTGCAAAATGAAAAGTTTAATTTTAAATCTAATGTTGATCGTAACCGTGATGATTGGTTATATAGAGTCTGAGTCGTTCAAATTTGAAACATATTTAACCCATAAAATAATTTTTTTGAAGATGTTGGATAAGTGAAAAGTAAAGCAATAAAAAACTACAAAAATTTATACACATTTTAATGATTGAAAAAACATTTTTGGAGATGTTGTATAAGTGAAAAGTGAAGGAATAAAACACTACAAAAATTTATACACATTTTTCCTTTATCTTTTGATGTCTTATCTTATCTTATATTTTTATGATTCAAAAAATTGTTTTCACTTAAAATTGTATTTTTTTAATACTCTCATTATGTTATTGTCTTAATTTAAAAAAAAATTAATCTAATATTATTTAAATAATTCATCTCAATCTCGTGCATTGCGCGGATCCCAAACTAATATGACATTTATTTTGAGGCGGAAGAAGTAACATCATCAATAGTAAATTCTCATATATCTATTTTTTTTTTGTTATAAAAAGTTTAGGTGCGTTAGACTTTAGAAGTTCACTAGAATCAAGGAAGACCTTAATAGATCCACACATCGATAGAGGAAATTGAATTAACGATCTTTGAGTGTAAGAGTTAACTCCATATCAACTGAGTAGTCGAGGTTTAATCTATTACATATATTTTTTTTATTAATGGCTGGAAGGCTGTTAATAAAAAAATATAGTGAAAACCAAAGTTTGTAAAAATAAAATGTAATTTTACTTCAACAAAAGTAATTTTATTTCTTTATTATTTTACTTCAATAAAAGTAATTTTATTTCTTTACCAAAAAAAAAAAGTAATTTTATTGAATGTATATGAATATTAAATTTGAATGATGGAAGTTTAGTTGTCTTGTTATTCCAGCTCAACAGATAATTGAGTAAAGATATTTGATTGCAGATGTGCTGGTTTAAACCTGCATCATTCTATTTATTTATTTTTAAGTATTTATAACCTCAAAATTGTTGATAATATAATTCTTTGTATCAAAGTACTATTTCGACAAAGTCTGTGGTTGTTGAAATGCTTTGCGCAAAAATTGTATAGCTGTCAAAATGTCAAAGAAGTGTGTATTCGACAGAATTTAAGACTTAGCTTTATTTTGTGTTTTTAGCTGAGTTAGGTTAATGCAGTTGCATAGAGAAAAGATTGAATAAACTTTAGTTTGAAGGTAGAGAGAAACTCTGCAGAATGGAAACTCTGCAGAGAGAAACCATAATTTCTCTTTTCTCCCCAATTCTTTTTTTCTTTTCTTCTCAAATCTCTGTACAGCAAAATCATCTTACAACCAAGGTGTGGTTGATTCACTCGAGTGAAGAGTGAAGAACAAGAGAAGAAATCAATCAGAAGATTTGATTCTGACTCATCAAGATTGATTTGAAATTCTCTAAGTTTTGGTGAAATTCCAACATCAGGAATTCGTCGAAATTCCAACATCTGGTATCTAGAGAGCTGACTGTGTGATTGTTGAGAAGCATAGCGCGATGAATCATTCGAAAGGGAATTTCCCAACAAGTCTTCCAATTATGGATGGTAAGGATTATGATAATTGGTGTAAGCAGACGAAGATCGTATTTTTTTATCAAGACATGTAGGATCTTGTAAAGGAAGGAGTAACGCCACTTGTAGAAAATGCAACAGATGAAAAAATGGTTGCACACAAATAATTGAAAAAAAATTATAAAGCTCTCTTTATAATTCATCAATGTGTTGATCCAGACAATTTTGAAAAGCTGAGTGATTTTGAATCAGCGAAAGAATGGGAAATTTTACAAAAATCGTTTGGAGGCACTGAGAAGGTGAAAGAAGTGAGGTTACAAACTCATAAAAAAACATATGAATTGCTTCATATGGGAGAAAGTGAAAGCGTAACTGATTTTTTCACTATGGTTACGAAACTGGTGAATTAAATCAAGGTATGTGGAGAAGTGTTGACATCAAGATCAGTTGTCGCAAAGATCTTGAGGTTATTGGCCCCAAAATTCGATGACGTGGTAGTAATTATAGAAGAATCAAAATACTTTTAAACATTGACAAATGAAAAGCTTCAAGGAACGCTTGAATATCATGAACAAAGAATGGCTGAAAGAGTTGCAAACAAGTTGAAGAGTTATGTGGCTTTGTAGGCGCAATCAACAAGAGAAAAGAAAGGCAAAGGAAAATGGTTCAACAATAAAGGTAGAGAAGGCTACAACAATTCGACTGGTAGAGGAAACCATCTAGAAGGAAATTCGTGAAATCAAAGAAGACCCTCATACCAAAGAAACCACAAAGCTTATGTTACAAGTAGAGGAAGAGACGGTGGACGAAAATCTGACAAAGTTAACATTCAATGTTTCAATTGTCAGAAGTATGGTCAATACTCTAGTTATTGTACTGAAAAACAAAAGAATCAAGAAAATGATGCAAAGCTGGAAAAGCATGAAGAAGAGGATATATTGTTGATGGTCACAACAAAAGATGAAGAAAGATTCAAGGACCAATGGTACTTGTACTCAAGATGCTCATCACATATGACTGGTAGGAAAGATTAGTATGTCAACATAAAACCCTCGATGAAGAACATGGTAAATTTTGCAAATAATAATACTCTAGTAGCTTAAGGTATAATATGATGTTCTGATTTTAGAAAAAAAATGGAAAAAGGTCAGTAAATTTCAATGTATTGTATATACCAAACATGAAAAGTAATTTTCTCAGCATAGGGCAGTTGGTGGCAGTTGGTCGAAAAGAATTACAAAGTGTCGATTGAAGATAATATGATGAGAGTTATTGACTTAGGTGGAAGGTTAATCTTAAAGGCTCTCATGTCTAAGAATAGAACCTTCAAGATTGAACTTAATGTGATAGAACATAAGTTCGTTGCAACTGCAGCTAGCAGGGATGAATGGATATGGCACTATAGACTTGGCCATCTCAACTTCAAAGATATCAGAGATCTGAAAAGAAGAAATATAGTTTCAGGGTTACCATAAATAGACATTCCAAATGAAGTGTGTGAGGAATGTGTGCAGGAAAAGCAACACAAGAACAAATTCAACAAGGATGCATAAAGCAAGTCAAAGGAAATTCTTAAAATCATATACTCTTCATTCATTTGGAGGTAACAGATACGTTGTCACATTCATAGATGTAGTTAAATACGGTTGACTTACCTGATCAAGAAGAAAAGTGAAGTGATTGAGGTATTTGCCAAGTTTAAATCTATGATCAAAAGACAAAGTGGCCAAAAGCTTAAGATTCTGGAGACTGATGGTAATGGAGAATATATGTTAAAAGACTTCGACACATTACGTGAGAAATAATGGATT